GGGGGGGGGGGGCTTTGTGTTTTACGGATGTTTTCATCTGCTTTGCGTCATTTCTGGCTGCAACACAGGAGAAATCGTACAAGAAGGTCAAAACACAAAGGCTGAGGTTTTGCATGTTTTTCCTTGACCTTTCCTTGCATAAATTGAATTTTCAAGGCAACGGAACGACAGATTTGTCTCTCGCTGCGTATGCGCTTAGGGCTTCTCCAGCCTCAGAGCGAGCGTGTGGCCATTGAGGCCCTGCAGTTGTGCACGCTCCTCCTTCCTCCCGCCTCACGCAGGAAGTTGCAGCTCCTAATGAGGATGATGTCCCGCATCAGCCAGAATGTGGATATGCCTCCACTCCACCCTGCCATTGGCACCCGAACACTGGTGAGAGAAAAATGGACACAGCTTCTGAATTGGGGGGGGCGGGGGCGTATAAGCCAGTGCCATAAAATGTGGTTGAAGTGAAGCGCTGTGCATACCTTCCATATGCACCTTCTCAAAACACGGTCCTGATTGTGTTTTCTCATTGCTTTTTCAGATGGTCCACACGTTTTCATCCTGCGTCCTCGGCAGCGCCGACGAGTGTGACTTGGATGAGCTCTTAGCCACCAGATTGGTTTCCTTTTTAATGGATCATCAGCAAAGCATTCTGTCCGTGCCGCAGTATCTGCTCGGTGCTATTAATGATCATGTCCAGTGTTTGCGCACAGCACAGGTAGAGTTCTTTTAAAACAAATATCACACAAAATATAGATATGACCACTTTGCTTTTGTGTTCCATGGAGTGATGTTAAGAATTCCTTTTATGGTGACAAAATGCTGATAATGTCATTCATTGTGTGGTACAATGCCGCTTGTTGAAAGTCGCCCACTTTTCTCCCCCACAGGTACCAGTAGAAGACATGGCTAACGCTGACGGCAGCGAGCCAGTGTGCGCTCCGCTGCCGCTGTACACCTTCTGCCATCAGATTAGCGGTGCCGAATTTGAGCACCAGAAGCTGTCCTATTCCCAGAAGGCCATGGAGGACTTACTGGAGATGTTGGTGTCGGACCAAAATATGACGGAGAAGGACAGATGCAAAAGGTTGAAGCAGGTAAAAATACGTCTCTCGTAACTGCTGCAGTGCAGCAAAAGTCATTGGTCTCTACAAACTGTTTTGTACAGGCCGCTACCAGCGTAATTGTCATTCCGGCGTTCGCGGGCAATTTAGGCGCCAACAGTTTGGGAAAGGACCATGTATTATTTCTTGTCACATTTTGGTGTTCACGAGCTCATGATTAATTCTTGAGAATCACTTTTGCTGCAGCGAGAGAGCTGCATTTTGTCTCGGAGTGAAAAAATAAATCCATTTGGTCGTGACGCCTCACCCCATCTTATACGGTGATGTTGTTCAGTTTCAGAAGCAGTACCCCGACATCTACAGTCAACGCTACCCCTCCACAGAAAAAGCCAGCAAGACTAACAACAAGCCAAAGATGAAAGCGCCGCTGCTCATCAGGAAGACCAAAGCGTTCAGTATCAGGAGCTAAACTGGTTGGAACATTCGCTGCACTGGAACTGCACTCACGCTGGTACCCACACGACAGGATGTTACAATGGGAACTATTATGACTGTTTTGTGTGTTGTTTTTTTTTTTTTTGTGAGTCACCCATTTGGGAGATATGAAGGCAGGTTGACAGCTAGCGTGTGCGCTGTTGTTGTTTTTGCACAGCTGCGCCATTGAAGCTTAACTGTCTACATGTGAAGTATTTTCTGCATGCATGTGGACTTTTACGTTTGGGAATTAGATTCTAGATTTTAATTTATGTTAATGATACTAATACTAGATGTCTTGGCTTGGATTTTTTTTTTAAGCCAATGTTTTTATGTACTACACAGTTTATAAGACTGACAGACTTAAAATGTTCAGTTCCTGTATTCCTAATGTAGTCTTGTGTTTAGATTTGTCAGACTTTTTTTTTTTCCAACTGCAGAGCCGGGAAAGGATTTAAGCTTTATATTTTGGCACTCTGCTTGTATGTCTCTCGTTGTAGTTGAAAAAGTTCAAGCCGTCAAAAATGTTAAATTGGGGGGGGACTTTAGGGTTTTATTCGGCACCTGCTTTCTTTTGCCGATAAGGTTAATGCATAAAGCGTGACCTTAACTTTCCAAGATCGAGTTCAAATTTCCTCATATATGGCATTTATTGGTCCCAGCCTACATGAAGCATGATTTGACCTCAGTGGATGTTTTTGTATGTCCTAGATGCAGTTTTTGTTATCCTTGTTCCTCTCCAACTATGCAAATTTCAGGGAAATAAACATATGCAGCCGTTACTTGTGTGGTCGTGTATGTTACGAAAATTGACGAAATTGGTCAATGTTTGAGGGCTATGTGATTGATAGACAGCCACAACCCGACGATAGGCCACTGAAGCAGAACTATCGAGTGGCTTGAAACCAGTGAATCATTGCCCCGTTATTTTTGTCGTCGTTTTTTTACCCACAAATGGTGTTCATCGGCGATGGACGGACAATAAAGGCTGTTGAACATTGGGCAAATCGTCAACTCTTCCTCAACTAGGAAGGAAACCTTCAGGAGCAGTTACACCGACTACTTCATGGGTTTTCGCCTACGGCGGGTTTCATTTTGGAACGTAACCCCCGCGATAAACGAGGGTTCACCGTATGTCCATTTTAAAGCTGACGGGTTTTAAAACAAGAGAGCAAAGTTAATTTTGCCTCATGCCATCTCAAACACCGATGCCGTTGGCGAGAACAATAACCGATGTGGTCTATTTGGGTGAAATGTTCCCAGACTTCATCCATGGCTCTTCTGCAACGGATGATTCGTTCTCATTCTCTCCGTATTGCTGCCTCGGGAACCAAGCAGTTAAATTTTCTTCCTATGTTGAGTTTCTCCAAGCCGTCTGGAACTCATTACGACACATTCTTTCACATGCACAAATAAGCATCAAACGGCCGAAATCAAGGCTCAGGTCTTTGCAAAGTGTACGTTGTCCCACAGGTAAACAAAGGCCTTGTTTCGAAGGCTCGGTGAACGTTTGACTCGAGGCCATGAGCCAGACAGCCGCAGGACAAAGCCGGCTTGTTCGGCTCGGCTTCACGCCGCGTGGAGGGGGAAAGGTAGAAGTGGGAGGGGGGGGGGGGGGGGATGGGAATGAGATGCAGAGGAGAGGAGGAGAATTCTCTCTCTCATAACAGGAAATTAGTGTGCGGTTTCAATGCAGCCTGGAGTGCTTGGGAAAGCGAGAAGGATTTTTCAAAAGCGTACAGCAGTATGGCCAGCTAGTAAGTAAAGCTTTTCTTTCGTGTTTTTTTAGGAGTGCATGAGCTAATACAAAAAAAAAAGTCAAATATGCTGGCTGAAATAAGCTATCCGTTTGTGTTCCTGAGTTGACTGGGTTTCACAAGTCAAGTTAGTTACTTGAGGAATGCAAAGTTTTCCATGAGCACTTTCAACTTCCTAATACTTTGTGGTCGTATGAAGACATTCGCATTGCTTGAACTGAGACAAATTTCCCAAACAAATGGCAGAATTGTCCAACAAATGGGTTTATTGTCATTTTGCCTCAATTTGACTGTGATACAAAACCAGTCATCAAATCTTGTTTCTGAGCAAAAATGACAACAATTTAAATCCAACCTCCAAACCACAAGTTTCCCCCTTTGGAAGTGGAAACCTAACACGCTTCGCAGCCTTCAACATACACTGGTGAGAGTTCTTCTGGATTGTCTTTGAGATCCGCTGCGACGGCCATCTTGGCGTCACTCACGTCTTCAAAACAGACCTCTTTGATAAAACCACATGGATCCCGGTTGGGCTAGTCAAGAAGTTGCTCCAGCACGGGCGGTGAGGACAGGAACTGTCAGATGCTCAGGGCGTTGTGAGCATTGCCTCACCTCTTCTCGCTCACTGACCGAAGCGCGCCGATTGATTGGGTAGCCGACATTGAGTGGGAAAACGGACAGTTTGAATTTGAAATATATCTTTTGTGTCGGTAGTCCTGGAACTTTTCTGATATTCTTCTTTGAGCATGTCAGTTTATGAACCAATGATCCTGAATTCATTCTCGACTGCAATTCTTGTCCAGTGTGGAGCATCCCGCTGCTGGTTACAGGAAGATCTTTGAGACAGTGGAGGAGCTGAATGAAGCAATTCCAGCCAAGGTCACCGGTAGGAGAGAAAAGATTCCTTCAACCTGCACTGCTGTCTCTTACAGGAATCACTTGCTGATTTGGTCAAATGTAACTGTGAAATTTGTGTCTGTGAAGGCGTTCTGCCAACATGGCTGGGCGGCAGTCTTCTCAGGATGGGACCGGGTCTTTTCGAGGTCGGGGACCAACCGTTCCGCCATCTGTTTGACGGACAGGCTCTCATGCACAAGTTTGACCTGAAGAACGGTCGGGTGACCTACTGCAGAAAGTAAGAATTGAACCGTTCCAGACCAGGAAAGTTGCATCCTGTCCTGAAAATGACAGCGTCTCTTCTTCTTCTTCAGGTTTTTGAAAACAGACGCCTACGTCCGTGCCATGACCGAGAACAGAGTGGTCATCACGGAGTTTGGCACAGCGGTGTACCCTGACCCCTGCAAAAATATCTTCTCCAGGTGAAATTGACTGTTGTTCGGACCTTGATGCATTCAGAATTTGTGTTTAAACCTGACCAGTCACTTTGCACTCAAATCTTCAGCTTACTAAAAAAAAAAAAAGTTCCAGGTTAGGAGAAGAGTTTCGCCCTGAATGAATGTAAAGGGGTGTGGGTACACCCTGGACTGGTCACCATCCAATCGCAGGGGCTTTCTTTGTAATGAATACAATAACAAACAACTGACTCGTATGTGTGTGTAGATTTTTCTCCTACTTCCGGGGCATTGAGGTGACTGACAACTGCGTCGTGAACGTCTATCCAGTTGGGGAGGAATTCTACGCCGTCACGGAGACCAATTACATCACCAAGGTTGATCCCGAGTCACTGGACACTTTAAAGAAGGTGAGAGTCAACCGAGCTGCACTAAAGAAAATAAATAAAAATACATCTTTCAAACATGGATATCCGTCAGTTATCGAGTTATTGATTTACATTTTTTATTTGTTACTAGATCAAGGCACTGAAAGGCATTATCCACCTCAAGCAAATATAATTTAAATAAAGGGGTGGGATTAAAAAAATGTACGTTTTATGGATGTGACATTTTCCTAACAAAATGTATACATTAGCAATAGTACACATTTTTTTTCTTTAGTTTTCTTTCATTTGTTTTCCATTTCATGTAGTGATGTAATTTGTTTTCCGTGATATATAGTTTTCCCAAATCTTTCCAAAATGTAGCACTAATGGGGCAGTCAAAAAAAGTCACACTTTCAATTTCAGCTTGTACAAAAAGAACACTTATCAATATCCACAAAACGTGAAATGGACGTGTTAGTTGGGTAAATATGATGTTGTATTTTTAAATATAATTCTCTAACTTTATTTATAATGAGGAGTTTATTTACCGGTATTAGGATAATGCGTGATCTTTTACCGTGACATGTGATTTGCGTCATCGTGACGTGTGTCATCCGACACGAAAACCTAAATCTACCAAATTAAACATTTGATCATTTTCGAGCTTTCTGGATGATTTTTCATACACGAATACCGTATCATATATAGCTCCTGCATATGAGTGTGCTCTTTTTTTTTTTTTTTTTTTTTGTCAATGGACGTAAATTAGGTGGACCTGTGTAAGTACCTGTCGGTTAATGGGGTAACAGCCCACCCCCACTTTGACGCAGATGGTACAGTCTACAACATTGGCAACTGCTTTGGCAAGAACCTGAGTCTCGCTTATAACATTGTGAGGATCCCACCTGCTCAGAAAGGCGAGTTCGGCTCTGTTTGTTGCCAGAAGAAAAATGTTGTTTTTTTTTTTTTGTCATTTACCGTTGCCGCCCCTGTGTTTATAGACAAGTCGGACCCCCTTGAGAAATCGCAGGTCATCGTTCAGCTCCCAAGCAGTGAGAGGTTAAAACCCTCCTACATTCACAGGTACCGAGGAGGAAGATGTTTTTCTCAAAACATGGCGGCATTGACTTCAAACCGAAGTGAGACTTCAGAATCTAAAATGTCCATCTGCGCCCCCGTTCTTCTCTCTGCTTGCGCAGCTTTGGTTTGACCGCCAACTATTTCGTGTTTGTGGAGCAGCCGGTGAAAATCAACCTGCTCAAGTTTCTGTCGGCTTGGAGTGTCAGAGGAGCCACATACATGGACTGCTTTGAATCCAATGAGAGCATGGGGGTAAGGTGGGCGTGTCATGCATGTTTGCCAGGACATGTGAAGATTTTAAGTTTAAATCCTACAATTAAGCAATTGCTTCCGTAGCCAAGACTTTGGTCTTCAATTTGTCTTTCATATGTACTCACTCCAGTTGACTCTTTGTACATGGGCATGTTTTTCTGTAGACGTGGTTTCACCTGGCCACGAGGGACCCGGCGGCATATCTGAGCGGCCACAAGTTCCGAACTTCGGCTTTCAACATTTTCCATCACATCAATGCTTATGAAGACCAGGGATTTATTGTCGTTGACCTCTGCGTGTGGAAAGGGTAAGGGCGACTATGTCTGTGTGTGTGTGTTTGTTTGCATGATGACACACGATGCTTTTAACCGTTGTGCCTGTGCGCAGACATGACTTTGTGTATAACTACCTGTATCTGGCCAACCTGAGGGGAGAGTGGGATGAGGTGAAGAAAGCAGCCGCGAGAGCGCCTCAGCCCGAGGTCAGAAGATACGTGCTGCCGCTGGATCTGCACAGCGTGGGTACACGCATCCCGGCCCGTTTTCATTCAACTTAACTGTTGCTGTTGTGAAGCGGATGAGGGAGGACCCCCAGTTGTTCTTTTTTTTTTTTTTTTTTTTGGGAGGGTTGGAGTGCGGATTGAGGACATTTCAATTCATTTCAAAAAGGGAAAGATGGTTTCAAATACAAATTATGACCGTGGTCACGGAACAAATGAAACTCGTATCTCAAGGTGCAGTTGTTGACTTAAAGTGCGTTTCCTGCATTTTTTTTCTTGCGAGTACATTGTACATTACTTGGTAATGGCTCTGTTCCGTTTGTGACCAATAGATGGCATTGGAGGGCTTCGCACCTGTTGGTCATCATGTCATTCGCTCTTTTCTGTTAAAAGGACCGTCGCACCGACCGCTCTTGGATCGTTGTGTTGCCGTCATGTTTTTATTTTTTTTCCTGTTGCCGTCACGTTCGCTCTGTACGGGCTTTTAGGAGGAGCCAGGAAAGAACCTGATTTCTCTGCCGTACACGACAGCAACCGCTGCCCTTCGTAGTGACGGAACCGTCTGGTTGGAACCTGAAGTCCTCTTTTCCAAACCAAGACAAGGTGCCACCTTTTTTTTTTGGTTTCGACATACAGTGCTTTGCGAGCGAAACGCTACAGTATTCGCGGTCCGCAAATACAGCTTTCCACATTCAACTTGCAGCATTGTCTCCCAGCCTTTGAGTTTCCGCAGATCAACTACTCTCAATGCCGTGGCAAGAAGTATTCCTTCGCGTATGGTCTTGGACTCAACCATTTCATCCCTGACAAGGTGGGAACACTCAATTTGGACGCTATAGATGCCTCAACTGATTCGAGGGCCCGTCGGTTGAACACTTTCAGTCAAGGAAGGTATGGGACAATGATTGATTTGACAACTGACTCTAGATTGTCAAGTTAAACGTCCAGACCAAAGAGACGTTGGTGTGGAAGGAGGATGAGTGTTATCCATCAGAGCCGCTATTCGTACCAACACCGGGCGCTACTACGGAGGATGACGGTATGATTACAATCGCAAAGCACACACATTGCTAAACATCTACTCCAAAGGTCAAGTTGCAAAACATGAATGTCACTATCTCATAATTGTGTAACTTTTTTTTCTTTTGTAGGGGGGGTTACATTTAAAAAAATAAAAGTAGTATCACTTACCCATAAACTGCAACTAACTTTTTAGTTATTCTTTAAATTTGCAATTGACAATGTATATATTAAAACCAAGATCCTAAAGTTCTCTCGTATGAATGCAACTTCATTGACTAAATACGATGACAGGTAATGTGTCTATCATACTTGACAATCTAAAAAAATGTAGGCTACTCAGCTCATTGTGTGTGTCCTGTGTAGGTGTGCTGCTGAGTATTGTTGTCAAGCCAGGAGCAGAGAGGCCCGGCTTCTTGTTGGTGCTGGATGCCGCCAAACTGACCGAGGTGGCCAGGGCAGAGGTTGACAGCATCTTTCCGGTGACTTTTCATGGCTTCTACAAGCCGTGATCCTCACATACAAGCAAGCCCAAATAGTCAACGTGCGTTGCGGAGTCGCGACAAAAGGACGGTGGTTTTTCTTCACCAAGTACACAACACGGATCTTGACGACCTGTGTCGTCTGTTGATGTACTTTACTGAAAAGCAAGAATACAGGAGTGAAGCAGCATGTCTTGTCAACGCTCAAAGGGGCAGGCAACTTTCAACCGCACTATACTCTATTGAGTTTTATATTTACCAACACCTTCACAATATTAACAAACAAAAATGTTTTGACTTTTTTTTTGTGGTATATGACACATTTTTTTATTTGTTGTCATAAAAATATGAGGCTTTTATAGGATGGCTATCTCTGGTGTTTTTGAATGTCCAAAACATCTCATTTTTTGTTGTTTTTTTTTTTTTAAATGCACATTTGAAACATGTGGTAAGTGATTTTCCCTGAAACATATAAGTCTTAGAAAATGGGCCATTTGACCACTCCAGGAAACATACATATATCCATTATAGAAGTCAAATCTTTACATTTATACTGTATTACCAAATCTGCATTTATCAACACATTATGGTCACACTGAAGTAAAATTGCAGTTTTTTTTTTTTTACTGTCCTAAAATCAAAATAGCCTTCACTGAAATGCAATTCCAATAGGATTGAAAGTAGTTTAAACCGTTAACTTAAAAAAGGGCACTCCATTTATGTGTTACAGTGCATTTTAATTACAATATAAACTCACTCCAAAATTTGACACCTGTAAAAATGACAGCGTCACATTCATGGTGCAGGTGCTCAACTGGTTTGACTTCTACGCAGGAAGCGCGGCTTCGGCTCCCACGGGTGGACGGCTGCAACTGGAGAAGTTGCAGAGACTATTTTACGTCACCACTGGAGGCCGGAAACATCCGACTTGCACAAAGGAGAAGTCCATTTTTTGTGTTTTGTTGAATTTCTGTCCGATGGGCATCTGCGCAGACCAAAGCTGTCGCAGCAATCATCCCCACTGCCCAAACAGCCAACGATATCATCTGCTGTCACACATGCTGTGTTGAGGCACTTGTTCACAAAAAAAAGGATCACGTTAAATAAGTCGCTCAATTTCAAATTATTTACATATTAGTAAAGGCGATTGATGGGCAGGCTGTCCGACATTGACAAGTGCGACGCGGACGTTTCTAAAGCCGCAGAAGTGCTGATTGCGGTTTCTCTGTTGACAGTTGATAATGCTGCTGTTTAATGATGTCCAGACAGTCTCGAAGAACCTGCAGATGCACACACATTCACATCAATCAATACATCCAGATGAACAAGTGCCACCGGATAGCAAAAAATGCACACGAGATGACTTTACTCGTCGAGTGTCCTGAGGAAGAATGACTCCGTCATCCCAAAGCCGTCCAGAGGAGAAAAAAGCCGAGCTCTCCTCCTCCAATGTCCTGTTCAGATTGCGCTCCGTCTCGTTTCTGTCCACCGGCTCTTCCTGCTGCTGCTCGTCGTCGGGGTGAAGCAGAAGGCCCGCGTGACCTGCGGCCGTCATGGACACTCTGGCGTTGGGCCACAGGAACAGGAAGTTTGGGTCAAAAGACCGCCCACACTGGAGACAACCAGGAAAAAAAAAAAGGCTTCATGGTTCATGTGAATCGGTCACAACCGAAGAAAGCATTTGAAAATGTAGTCATCTAAAAATACAACCACAAAATGACACAAGACCACCACGGGTGGGGGGTGTCTTACCATGGCGTAGCTGTCGGCACCGTGGGAACCGCCTATCACCACGGTGATTTTGGGCACGGAGGCGCACGCCACAGCTGCCATCATTGAAGCCTGAGCCTTTAGTCGGTTGCTGTTCATCTGTGCCTAAAAACAAACAGATGGAAATGACGTGATCGTTTGTATTGTCGGGCTGCCATTTTGATTTTGTCAGGGCCCAACCACGGCGTGAAAACAGTTTCATTCCATGGGTAAGCGAAATGATGGCGGGGGCCAACTTTTTCTAGTTGGGCTGAGTGTACCTGTGCCACCGACAGAGTGAGAGCGGCTGATGGCGCAGTGTTCTGGAGGAAGAGGAGTGGGGTGTCTCTTTGGTCGCACAGTTGAACAAAATGGCTGCCTTTCAAGGCCGCCTGATATGACAGCTCTCCATTGTTGGCCACGATTCCTACCAAGTGACTGAGGTCAGAAACACAGAAAATAACTGAACAGAAGATACACACCGCATACAGCCTCCATACTGGTGAAATATAGACAAAAATCAATCCATACAACTAACTGAATTAAAAATAACAAACAAAAAAAGGCGAAATGAGTCCAAACTTTTGACAGCCCAATGTGCACTCATGATGCGACGTTAAATGAAAAACATACGAGTTTCTCTTTTGCAACCAATGGCCCACGTGAACGATTTATAACCATTCAAATGGCCTTTTGATTGTTGAAGACACACTTGTGATTTAGGTACATGTGTGTGTGTGTGCGTGTTTCATTTGAATACCCGTGAATCTTTGCAAAGCCGGTGACGAGCGTGGTTCCGAAGAGAGCCTTGAACTCCTGGAAGCGGCTGCCGTCCGTTAGTCGACTTATAACCTGGAGAAACAATGCCATCCATCAGCGTGTCTGATACTATACACCTGCAGCTGCAGAGCTGAGAGCAAATTGACTCCATCAGACGTGGTGGAAATGTGCGCGACTCGAGCCAATCGGAGTCCCGCTTGTAACATTGGTTTGCAAGTTGAAATCAAGAGAATCCGCCAATTAGGGAAAGAAGATGCGGTAAACCAAAATCGAACAGTAACAAATTGATGAAAAGTACAGCGAAACGCACAGCTGACGAGCAGCCAAGACTTCCGAAGACGAAGCTAGTTCGACAAGAGACGTTCCCTCCCGGCGCGACGTGGAGGAGGAAGCTGTTGCGCGTGCTATGTCGTCAAAAACAAGGCAAGACAAGAAACCTGTTGAATCATTTGAACAAGTCGCAAAAAGCGAGCAGAGTTTGCACATCCTGATGACGTAAACATGAGCAGTCTCATCGCTAATAACTAGCAAACAGTCACCGGATGAAAGCAGCAATCAATCTTTTGATCCGTCACATTTGCAAGTAGCAACGATGCTAACGCCGGATGCAATATTATTCATTATAAAATAGATTTATTATTCCTGATTGGTCCATTTATTAGTAGTTCACTGTGTTCTTTTATTTTATTCTACACTTCTTGTACAGCAGTAGAATAACACAGTTTGAAAAGAATGAGCATTATTAAGATGTTGAATGACTCGATAATTATCATTGTTGTGCTTGACGTACCATTTTAACATCCAGACTGTAGTTGTAACTTTTGGGGGCAAGGCCAAGTAGCTCCTCCGAACTGTAAAGTGGCTTCTCGTCTTCTTTCCTCTTGCGCGTCTTCTCCTCCTCCTCCTCCATCTCGTGCGCAGGCAGCGTGAAGTTGAGGGTGGATATGATGTTTCGGGTGTACTCCAAGGCCTCCTCCTCTTCCCAGGCAAAATGATCCACGCAGCCACTCACCCTGAAAGCGGATCAATCAGACTTCTGCGATTGGCACGCGTGGCTTGAGAAAACACCGCATCAAAAGTAAGCGTTGGTTCCGCTGGCTGGTGAGAATTTTGTGAGCGTACTCAGCATGAAGCCTGGCTCCCCCGAGCTCCTCGGGCGTGACTTCCTCCCCAGTGGCCGCCTTGACCAGCGGCGGTCCTCCCAGGAACATGGTCCCGATCCGGTGCACCATCACTGCCTCCTCTGCCATGGTGGGGATGTAAGCTCCGCCCGCTGTGCACGAACCGCACACCACCGACACCTTTATCATGGGGACTACTGGTCCGTGACACAACAAAGGTTGGGGACCACCGGTCTAATTGTGACACTGATGACATTTTTTAAAAATGATCCCAATTCACGTCCTTTTATCATGTTGAGGTCCGATAAAGTTGAGATGAGCTTACCTGCGGAATCTTCATAGCAGACATGATGGCTTCATTATAAAATGTCCTCCCTCCCTGGTTCTTATCAGGAAAGATCTCGGACTGTGGATGTTTACCAGGAGCGTGAGTCCGAAACTCGGCAAAAGGGCAGCACGTGAATAAGTTACCTGCAGTGGCAGGAAAGCTCCTCCGGAGTCAACCAGGTAGACGCAGGGCAGGCGATTCTGAATTGCCACCTCTTGTGCTCGCAGTTGCTTCTTGACTGTGATTGGATAAGCCGTTCCACCCTTCACTGTGGCGTCGTTGGCGATGAACACACACCACAGGCCGTTGATCCTTCCAACACCTGCACGCATGTCCATTCAAACGTACACAAAGTCGGGGCAGCGTAGTGAAGAACTGTTAGCGAGTGGCCCGATTTTGTTGTTAGTGCCAAAACTACTCCTCTACTTAGTGCATTCTGACCCGTCAGGCAGCCGGCTGAGGGAATATCTCCGTACGGCAGACCCAGACCCGCAAAGCGCGACAGCTCAAGGAAGTCCTCATCGTCCAATAGTAGGCGCAATCGATCCTTAACCAACAACTTCCCGTTCCTCTGAGTGTGTCTCGCAATGGCACTGTCACCCCCTCCTTTCGTCACCTTCTCGTTCAGCTCCATGTACCTGGAAATCATTTCAAGAATACGATGAAGTGGAGCTGACGTCAACTTAACTGAAGTCCAACAGAAGTCCCACACTTGCTGCGGCAGTCGTTGCTGTTTCGAAGGTTAGCTTCATAAACGTGCTTGTGGATGTCCAGGAGGGGCAACTCTAACACTGGCAAGGCGCTACGCCGAGCTCTCCTCTCTCGGGCCGCAGTGCTCATTTGTTGGACCAAACGCCGAGGATGCTGCACTGCCTTCCTGCACCACAAAACACATTTCAGCTTGTAAAACATGGAACAACTGGAGTTGAAAAAACAAAATCCTATGTTGAACTATTGGACTGTAGAATGCGTTGCTTGAGACGATATTATTTCTTGATCTTCACCTGTACAGCTCCTCCTCTCTCATCCCGAATGGGAACTTCGAGTAACACACGTGATCACACGCGAAATATCATTGAACGGTTGAAATAATATGCACGTATACTATAAGATGCAACTTAAAATGCACAATGAATACATTACATAATTAAAAATGCAGTGATGTTTGGTGGTGGGCATCGATACAGCAAGGCTAAAAATGTTCTAACTAAGAAGGCATGATTAGAGCCCAAGAGAATGAAAATCCCCCAAAACGGGTTAATACACAGTAAATACAGCGGAAGCCTGCTGTTCATGGCCGGCAAATCGAAAAAAATCCCTGCATAATTGATGCCACTTAACACGCGTTGGAAAATTTGTTTGTGATTATTTTAATCCCACAAGATATGTCGAAAAAAACTGTGATGAAACCGTCACCACCAATAAGAGTTTTACATTCCACCAATAAATGAATGAATAAAATGAAGAAAAAAAAACCCATATAGTATAAAAAAAATCTGCAAATAGGTGAATCCTCGGGTGCGGGGGAGTATTTGGTTATTTATTTGCGTGCATTTTAATTTTTATTGAGACGTTTTTGGAAGAGTGTATAGTATTTCTATTCATGTAAAAACGTGTATTATGTACTGTAAACTTATCATCGCAACGGTATGTTTGCATTAACACAACCAGTCGTTATATGCATGTTCGTGTTTACACAATGCAAACAAAAGTTTGATCAATTTTTGGAAGGCGTAAACCAAATATACATAAGCTTCATAATAAGCGTAGTCGTTGTCTTATTACAACCACCGGTATTTAATACTCGAGCGCGAGAGAAATGTATGCCAAAGGTCATATTATACGGATTCTCATTGTGTGGTCAAACGACACCTTGAGGGTTGTTGTTGAGATGACAGTTGTTACCTTGCAATGAAGCGGTACATGTCTACTGGCGGCACTGCAGCTAAAAAGTGGACGGCAAAAGAAAAAGGGAGCGCAAAAACATAACCAGCGATTCTTGCAGGGTCCGTTTCTTCCTTTTCCCAATATTATTTACTCTTCATTTGCAACCGTGTGCATTTACCGCCATCTAGAGGAAAGGAGTTGCTAAAGCATTCTATGTTCACCTCACTTCATTTTGGAAGCGCTTAGCTCCCTGTGTTGGTTGTAGAAAGACCCACGAGAGGTATTAGCAGTACAGTAATACAAAGTTGGTACAGTAGTAACAACGACCCCCACCACACACACACACACACACACACACACACACACACACACACACACACACACACACACACACACACGTGTGCACGATATGATTACATTTATGTCAACTGATGTTAGTTGCAAACATTATGGAGGCAAAACAAGCTAAGAAGCATTAACACTTAAAAATCTATATTAACTTCTCTTTATGGCCTCGTACACGCAGGAAGTTGAAAACAGCGAAGTGAGTTCGGTTGGAAGCGAATCTGTTTCAGAACGGCCACAAGAGGGCGCCACCTATTCACATTTGAACAATGTACTTATTGTATACTTGTAACAATATACTGGGTTTCGTGAGTGAGCGTTGGAATACGTTCGAGTCGATTTGATAGTTGTAAATAAACGTTGTTTAACACCTCACAGAGTATAATAAATGAAGAACAGTAAATACCAATATGACCAGTTAGTTTTTTTCTCAAGGCGTGTAAGATGAAGGTTGTAATACTGTTGATAAAGCCATGCGAAACGGCTTCGTTTCAGGATGGTAATTAACTCTTGTCACGGATGAAGAGGAACGTCATTTGTTTTCGAGGAGTGCCCCCAGGTTTGAGGTTTGCGCTGGGTGGAGAGCAGCAGCAGCGGGAGGAGGAGGAAGAGGAGGAGGAGTGTGTGCGCGTGCGCGTGCGCGTGCGAGCAGACAGTTTGTAGTCGGTCTCGCCTTTGGCAGCAGTTTGAGGAGAACCCGAGTGGGGGGAAAAAAAGCCGTCCGATCCCGGCCAACTCGCAAGGGGCAATCCGCCATGAGTTGGGGAACGGAGCTCTGGGTAAGTCTTGTGAACTCTTTAACACTACTTTGGAAGTGGTCCGCGTGTCTCTCGTGTTGTTGAACTCGAGGAGCGGACGTGGAAAGGAAGAAAGGTACCGCGTTACCTTTTTTTTTAAGCTTCGTGTATGGCTCAGGCTAGACGAGTGGCTAATGCTAAAGCTAACCCTTGGCGCACCTCACCGCCTGTGACAGCGGCGGTGGAACAATAGGCAGGTCTCCAGACTGCACGCCTTCTCCGTCTCCTCCTCCGACGAGGGTGCACGTAGCAACACTTTTCTGTTGTTTGGCCCCGTTCAATGCAATCTGCAGCCCGGCAAGTCGGATCTTGAGCTTGATTTTTTTGGGGGTGTCACACCCAGTTTGTAAGGAAGCTGGCAGAGATTGCTCGGTGAAGGGCGGACACCGAGCGCTCTCATTGCAGTGTCCCTCAAATGAGCATCTTAAACTAAATCGAAGTGAACTGTTTTAACTTGACAAGCCGTAGTGTTAGTTCCTACTAATCGTAGACCTCTGAGTCTCATCATCTGAGCAGCAAAAGAATTTGGGCTCCAAATGTTTGTGTGCAAATAAATGTAGGTTACTTTACGTTCATGAGCATGACTTATTTGTGAGTGTCTGGGTGAAATACAATATTTCTTATTTCTTTAAAACGTTTTTTTTCCATTAAAGTCTGTTATAGATATGTTATACCTGCTGAACTGCTTATATATTTAATTTATCATCGTTTTTTACAATTTTATGTTGGACATTAACAGTGGCCCGTTGGCCATATATATTTATTGGTCAATATTTTGAGTTTTATCAATGTAAATTATCCACTATCAGTGATCTTTTTATTGAGAGTTACAAATGTTTTTTTGTATCTTTTTTTTTTTTTGTTTTTGTTCCAGATAATATATTTTTTTCAGGTTCTTCTGTCAGGAATGGCAAAATAGAGCAATACAAATGTAACTACACAAAAGTCATATTTTCATCAATGTTTTAATAATACAATATAAAGACGCTGAATATGAAATCATCATTGAAACGTATCATATTTTATCATATACATACAGGGCCAGTACCAGTTTTGGTCGGGCCACCACAACATGACTCATGATGGCCCGCCAACTGAAAAGGCTTGTCGGACCCTGTTATTACTCCCTTGTGGGCAAATTCCGCTTCCACTGTGTTGTATATATACATTGCACGCCGCAGAGAAGCAGGTCACAAAAGCAAGCGTGCGAGGAGAGACGTCACACTGAAAAGTCTGCGCGGTAGTTCTGCACCTCCCCATCTGAGGGAGATGGCGTCAGCGCCTGCTCAAGGGCACCTCGACAGTCGTCAGGAAGATGGCTAGCATCTCTCCAAGAACTCACACACACGATCCAATGGAATAACGCGCTTCACCTTAAAACGATTTCCGCACCTTTTGATCAGAAGGCATTATGGTTGTGAAAGGGGCGTTGTGAGTTGCGACAAGATGGACTAACCCAGCAGCATCCTCTGGTTTACGTGGGTGTGTGAGTAAGACGCGGGAGTAATTCACGGCGCTGAGATCAACTCTGCGGTTATGAACCGCAGTTCAAAATAGGCTAATTGTTGTTTTGCTCAGCCCCCAATGTGCCGTAAAAAAATACGAGCGAAGACAGCAGGCTGGCATGTTGCTTGTGATTTCGAAGGGGAGTAAACAAGGAGTGCTGATGTGAGAGGCTTCAATGCCTTCTTCACACGGACCTCAACTATGGCATGAAACGTGCGAGGTGGGAATGAGGTCAGCGAGCGGAGCCATTTTGCACCTTTTTAAGGGCACCTTTCAACTATTGGCTAAGACACCAAATGCTTATTTTCAATGAATACTTATTTTGAAGTTGCTGCCTTTGTTGCCGTTGCTGCCTGTTTGCAGTCATTGAATGAGGCATCCGAGCTGCAAACCGGACATAAAAATTACATTTACATGACATGTACACCAGGTCCCTAAGAAGGCCATCGACAACTCACGTTGAAAAATCCCACAGATTTATGGAAACTTAAGCAAGCCCAAAGATATAGTTGTTTATTTTTTTTTACTGGAAATGAAGAAATAAAGATCTAAACCAGATCAAACAGATAAAGTAAATCCTTCAATTCAATAAAACCAAATTTACTCATGTACTGTGCTGTCAAACCTAATTTTCCAGTGTCAGTCTGTCTCAGAGTACCAGTAAACATAGCGCACAATGATCTTCCGAGTGGACACGCAGACTGAGCGACCATCATAATCCTCTGATGAGATTAATGCGTTGGCTGTCAACATTCACCCTGAGTGGCTGCCAAGCACTTCACTGGCGCTGTCTGTTTAGTGATGCGTTCTAACAGATTCAAATATTCAATTTTGGGGTAATTGGAAAGAACGATAAAATGATTGGTATGTTTTATTTATTACACGTATACATGTACATATATGTATCGGCACATATATACATACGCATACAGTATGTATGTATGTATGTATATATGTACAAATGTATAAATACAGTTGAGTTGAGTTGACATGAAGAAAAAAAAAACGTTTTGTACTCCGGTGAAAAGATCACTGATCATTGATAATTTACAGGGATAAAACTCAAAATATTGACAAATATATATATCTATATTTTTTAAACACACAAACATTTGTATTTATGGAAGAAGTAAGACATGTGTACTTATCCCGTCGGGCCAGCATCGATGAATTTTGGGGGCACCGAACTGTAACGTAATGGTCCCGGGTCATCGGGCCACTGTTAATGTTGAACCATGAATCTTTAAAACAGCCATGATAAAATAAATACGAATGTTTATGTGTGTGTATATGTATATGTGTGTGAGTGTGTATCAAATTGTGAGCCATGCGATCATCTTAAATAGTGACTAATCAGTGAAACAAGTCTTTCTTTCATCTTTTTTTTTCCATTTATGGCCACCCTTGCGCTTTGCATAGCAGTCCCGGGTTTCTTCAATGTGCCTCTGTTTTATTTCTCGTGTCTTGGCTGTATTCCGGAAGACATTACAAAGTGAGCGGGGAACATCCTATTAGCCGTTATATGTAGAGAGCACGCGCGTGCTTGCACCCTCGCACGAGCGCTTAGATGCTGCCACACGGCGCTTTGTTCTGTGTGTCGGACTCAGATTTGCCGAGGACCAGCAGAGCAGCCGAGTCTGGCTTAGGGATGAGAGACTGGCAGGTGGTCTTCTCTGCCGACTGGCAGAGGGTGGCAAAGTGGCGCAAAGGCTACAATCTTTTACTGGCTGACCGGACTTTTGATTTTTTTTTCTTTTTTATTTTATTTTTTACGTCCGTCAGCTGATTAGTTGAAAACAGTCTGTTGGACTCTCACACATGCTGTGAAGCAATGGAACATGTTTTCATCCTCATATTTCAGATGGCAGCCTGTGCGCAGTCAGTGTGGAAAAAACATTTGATACCCAAAAAGCTTCAATATTTCACGACGCCTCAGGGCTCTTATTGTATCCTACCGTGGCTAGCGACAGTCGCAGCCACGATCCATAGGATGGCAAGTGAAAAAAAAAATGTTTTCATGATGAATAAAACAAAAAGAACAATTTGGACACCCATCAAAACGTTTGTTGTTTTTATTTGACATTGCTCATCAACAAACTGTCTGTACATCTTAAAAGAGGGCCTTTTATTGATCACGTTACTGTGTTCTCACCACAATGGAAAATACGACCATTGCCCATGATTCTGTTGCGCCGAGCCACAATCAGGAGATCATATTTGAATCCGGAAATCAACTTGGGGTAAATATCTGCGAGGGACGGCTCCAGTGCTGAATGTGTGAAAAGTTATAAGAAGGCAATCCACTCGTTCTCCCCGCAGGGGTTCCAAGTAATCAAGTTATTTTTCTTCATTTACCGCTGATTAGTGATTTTTTTTTTTTTTAAACGCTCCTGTTACGTTGCAGGTCAAGGCAACAGAGTCGGCATTGCAAACATTTTAAATTTGCTGCATGTAATTTTTGTTTTGGTTTCCTCCGGGGTTCCAAGTAATCAAGTTATTTTTCTTCATTTGCTACTGATTCGTGATTTTTATTTTTTTAAACGCTCCTGTTATGTTGTAGGTCAAGGCAACAGAGTAGGCATTGCAAACATTTTAAATTTGCTGCATGTTATTTTTGTTTTGGTTTCCTTCTGTCCTTTCCTGGGCTCACATCTGGACCCTTGCAGCTGTTTGGCAGCTGCCCGTATTTAGACACTTTTCAAACAACTGCAGTTTCCAAGGTAAAATTATTGTTCAACACATTTTCTGACCTCTTCTGACCAGGAGACTGTGGGCCCTTCAGCCCACAGTCTTAAACTGCACAGTGATTTTAAATCCATCCTTTTTTCATCTGAGGCAGTTGGCTCAAGTCAAGCCTCGCCTTTCCCAAGAGCACTTTGAAACCGCCATTCATGCCCTTGTCAAATTCTGTCTGGATGACTGTCATGCACTTTGCTTTGGAGTCAGACGATCCTCCATTAAGCGTCTCCAGTTGGTCCAAAATGCTGCTGCTCGCCTCTTGACTGGTATTTGTAAGAGGGAGCACATCACTCCAACTCTGGCATGCCTTCGCTGACTTTTTCAAAAAATTCTATTATTTGTTCTCAAATCTTGAAATGGCCTCGTCCCACCTCTGAGGTCCTCCACCCCTGTCCGGTGAATCAGGTCTGCGGACCAGACACTATTAGAGGTACAGAGGACTAAGTGGAGGCACAGAGGGGATCTAGCCTTTGCCGTTGCCACTCCCTCCCTTTGGAATGAACGTTGGGCAAGCCCCCTCGCTGCCCATCTTTCAAACGCGTCTTCAAACTCATTTTTAGTCTTTGGCTTTGGACTCAGCATGAGACTTGATTTTGAGATAGACTCTTTTTCTGTTTTTCTACTGTCTTGGTTGTTAATTTATCATTGAATTAGTGGTTGTATGGATTCTTTTTGCTCCATGTGCAGCACTTTGTATACAGCGGTGCTTGTTTTCAAGCGCTTGAGAAATACAGTGG